GTGACGCCCAGAGAGGTGACCGTGCCATTTCTACAGAACAAGAAGTTAGTGGTTGTCCTTGAACACCAACCCTGTTCACCGCATATAAGGCCAAACTCCTGAATGCCATTACCTTTATCATACTGATCGCATGACACTCACTCTTTCTCACTCTGAACTGGATTTCTGAGCAGCCCTCTGGCACAAAGCAGACACACCAGAACCTCTTTGACAAATAACATGTCACACCGGGCTTCAGCCTGCGCGTCCTGGCAGCCCACACTCCCCAGCAGTCAGCAGATCTGTGTCAGGAGTGCAGACTGTATCCTGCCAGGTGGTTTCCCCACAGTCAGACCAGCCTGTGTCACTCTCAGGCAAAAGTACACATTGGATCTGTACTTAATTTTTCTTGTCTTCTTACTCCACTAAATGTCCCAGAAGCATCTTATCTGGGATAGTGTCCACACGGGCTGGATTCTCACTGGGTAAAGTGGAGATGCCCGTGCTGACTGCTTTCGTGATGCACTATTCTGAAGCACAGCCACAGGCCGTGCTGTTTTATAAAATATCCATTCAACAAGCACAACAATACCGCTAAAAAGGAACACAGGGGATCTATGTGCAACGTCTTTAAGAGGACAGTAAAATAGGGATGTTAAGGAGGGAATTATTTCCCAAAGAAATAACTGCACTAGGATTTTATGGGGACTGGGAGCATGTTAAGATTACCCAGAGGCTCAAATGCAATTTATTTTATTCTAACAATCAGTGTCTTTCAACAGGAGGGGAGACAAGGACGTGACAACAATTTTACACTAGTATACAGTCACAGCGTCTGTGCGTAAACCGAATGATTACTGAGTTTAGGGGTGTTATCCTGGCCTCCTAATAATGCCCAGCTCTGAGCTGGCTTCATCACTCCGAGAGCGATGTGTGTGTGGGTGTGAGGAGTGTACTGGTGCACTCTGGCCATCACACCATCCAGGTTGGGCCGCACACTGGTGGAGGGGAGTCCCTACTGCCTGGAAAGCACTCTGAGTGGAGTATCCAGAAAAGTACTATGTAAGTACAAGCAATTATTATTATTAGTAGCAGTAGTATCCCATTACAATGAGCACTTTTAATTTAATTTAAAAGTTCAAAACCTTTTAGAAACAGAATTTCAAAACTAAACAATGAGAGCTTGAACAACATTTTTAAACATTTGTTTAAACCGGCTTAACATTTGAATAAATTTTAACACGCAGTGCATCGCATACATATAGCACACATGAAGATGAAAGCAACAGGAAAATATCAATTTAACTTTTCTCTTTATAAAAGTGTTATACAGAAAAATACTGTATGAAATACTCTTATAGAGTATAACATGGTTACTTTAATATAGAACTACATAAAGTTACATTAAATACTGTACATATGATAAACAGGAAACTATATAGAGTAAAGTTAGTTATTTTAAACTTGCTTGTGCTTCTCTGTTTCTGTGAATATCTTTGTCAGGGCACAGAGGTGCTCAGAACAAGTAAGGTCAGGGCATAGATGTACAGCTAATTTCAGCTTCTTTTCTAACACCCATACAAAAGAACACAACAATACACAATACAATATCTATAATGGATTTCTATAATACAAAGCTATTTTGCAATGATTTTACTAGACATTTGCCGTTTCTGTGGTCAGTTAATGTCAAGTCGGGGTATCTGTACGTTACACAGACCCCTGTACATCAGTGCAGGGAGAGTCAGGGAGTGGGAGTCACAGCCTACATTCAATCACCAGCCAACGTCAGGAAACACGGAGGTCTTTCTTTCTATATGTCAATAGATGTGATCGATGTAGCTGCGTTTTACACCCGTTTTGAACAAAACCGCGGGAGCACCTCAGCTGATCAGCAGAGGTGTGAAGGCAGTTCAGGACAGTTAAAGTAAGGAAAAGCACAGGTCCACATAATGGAAAGAGTCATGTGCCAACCGGTTTTGTGATATTTTTAACTTGTACTTAAAGTTATGAATCGTCCCCTTTCTGTGGAAGAAATCTACTATCATTCCCATTCCAAAAACTGCTTGGCAAACAACCACTATCGCTGGCGCCGAGACTCTCAGAGAAGTTCAATTTCAAGTCACTTGATAAGACTGGGGTCCTGCACTCCCTCACAAACAGGTCTCCCCGGGTCAGGCTGGGGTCCGATACTCACCGGATACCCCACAGCTCTGCGTCCTGCCCCCCTTTCCCTTTCGCACACCCATGATTGCAAGAGCAAACACGCAGAAGCCTCAGGAAGACTGCTGATGACACAGCCCCGGGCTGCTTATTAAAGGGAAACTACAAGGCCATTTTTATATTTTGGGGTTAGAAAGCATCAGAAAGAATCAGCATCGATGAGCGCTTTTCAAACAACAATAAAAAGAAAATAGACACAGTAACTTGTAAAACCTCCAATTTCTGCACACTGGTGGTGGTGGACGGGATCCCCGTTACCTGTAAAAGCGCTTTGAGTGGAGTGTCCAGAAAAGCGCTATATAAGTGTAAGCAATTATTAATTTCCATCACAGAATTAACAGACTTTCCCGGTCTGCGCAGCGCCATTTGCTGTGATCCAGAACGAGTCGACATGAAGCTCTGTCACTGTAAAGAAGCAGGCTTGCGAATGCTTCTCTTTCAATCCGACAGAAAGACTGCTCTCAACATCGAGACCGTGCCGCTGACAAATACAACTTGTGCGTCAACTCGGCATGCAGATCGTGTTGGAAACGTTCTGTGGCGGACTTGTCTGCTGCACAACCTGTACCTTTTATTCTCTCGCACATCGCGTTGGCCATCACAGAGTTGATCATTTTGTCTCGTTTTTCTAGAACGTCCACGAATGTATTTTGTTACCGGGATTTAATAACCAGTCTCTGCAACTGGGACTGCAGCTTCAAACACCCAGAAAGTCATCAGAGGCCCACGCTTAAATGATTTGACTAAATAGCGCGATACGTTTTCTTTGACGTCTAATGTCTTGCAGGGAAACTCAACAGCCCTCCAAGCTGCTGCAATTAAGCTGATACAGCATGAGAAGAGAAGAGGGGAGGATACCCCACCCATGTTATTGACAGGGACCTCTTCCGAGCCACAGACATCCCCCGGATCATCAACTCAATCAGGAACTCGCGGTCTCACAACCGTGTTCCATCGGTGCCTCCCTACCAGACCATTAACGACAACTTGCCCATCCTACAGGACGATCCCTCCACTGGTACCCTCTTTCCTGACTGCCCCACCTTCTCACATAGCCACCCACCTAATCTGTGTAACCTTCTCGTCCACAGCTGCCATGCCCGCCCCCAGAATCATCCCCACCAGGCACGTTCCCCGGCAACAGAACCAGCTGCGTCACCTGTAAATGTCCAGGATATCCGATACCAGGCTCATTCATGGCCCCTCCGGACAATCCTGGATCACGCAGGTGATATCTTGTACGTCCAGAAACCTTACTTCCTGCATCTCTCGCTGAAAATGTTCAGCTATTTAGGATTGTGAGACAGGACGGGGACTGGAAGACCCTTTCAGGGAACGTGTCAGAGCTGTGAGGATCAAACTTCTCTCCAAACACTGTCTCTCATTTCACCTCAATCACATCAATCTCTCTGTCTGCGTCCGCACAGAGGGGTTTCAGAACTCCCCTTGCAGGAAGACATTCAAAACCAATATGATCCTGAACACCAGGATCACACCTTCTCCCTTCTCTCAATGACAGACTCGTTCCCTTCTAATCCTCTATTCGTTTTGACTTCACACCTCTCTTCACCTGTCTCAGCTTCACACCACCCGAGTGCCCACTCTGCTTCTCTCCTGCTCCCTCCTCCTCCTCTCCACTCCCGGCTTCTGTCCTCTCCTGCTTCATCAACTGCCGGCTTTCCTCTCTCCCTCACACCTGAAGAAGACTTCTCAGTAACAACAGCTACTTTTTATTTTTTATTACTTCAGTATCGCTACAAGATGACACTTTTGTGCTTGAGCAGTTTTCTGGAGGGAAAAAAACTTTTACAGAGTTCCTTGAGCAAAAATACCATTAGTTTCAAAACTAAGTAACAATTTAACACTTATTACAAACTGTGTGTCATGTTGACCACTCCAAACACCACTCATCTGGACAGTGTACTGGCCCAGTCACCTGACCACTGACCAAACACCGTTACTCTGGACAGTGTACAGGCCCCATCACACTGACCACTGACAAACACCGTTACTCTGGACAGTGTACAGGCTCAGTCACACTGACCAAACACCGTTACTCTGGACAGTGTACAGGCCCCATCACACTGACCACTGACCAAACACCGTTAATCTGGACAGTGTACAGGCCCAGTCACCTGACCACTGACCAAACACCGTTAATCTGGACAGTTTACAGGCTCCATCATACTGACCACTGACCAAACACAGCTAAACTGGTCAGTGTACAGGCCCAGTCACACTGACCAAACACAGCTAAACTGGTCAG